TGAGACAGGGTCTCACTATGTAGTTGAGACTGACCTGGAACTCACTATGTAGCCCAGGCTGGTCTCAAATTCACAGCGATCCTCCTGCCTCAGCCTCCCCAGTGCTGGGATTACAGGCGTGAGCCACCACACCTGGCTTCCCTGCCTCTTAGCCATTGTGACATGTTCTGTTTCTGTTTCTGTGCCATTGCAAGTGTTTGCATAATTTTGTTGCAGTTTCTTCTTTGACATAGGAAATGTTTGAATTAAATTCCATTTGGGGAGACTTTAAGATCCCATCTGGCTCTGCACTGTGGATGGGGAGAACCTGGGCGCAAGGGGTGCAATCCAGGGCCTCACAGAGGCTGGGCAAGCACTCTATCACACAGCCAAATCCTTGGCTCTGTAACTTTGAGAGGGGCCTATGGCCCGGCACATCGTCCAGCTTGGTGAGCGGCCCACGCGTGCTGCCATCGCTGGTGCAGTGTGTTAGAGAAAGCCCTTAGACCAAGGTGCTCAACGGCTCTGTTTGGGACTTCCTTCAAAGCCTTACTGAAGCCTTATTGGCTTTTTAAAAATTCTATTCTGGTTCTATCAAAATCTAAGAGAAGAGTGTTAAAAGCTCCAGCTATGATTACAGATTTTTTGTTTCTCCCTTTAATTCTATCAATCTCTGCCTCATGGCCTTTGGAGCTCTGTGACCAGGTGCATCCTTTTATTATGAAATATTCTGCTTTATCTCTGGCGTAAGTGTACCTCTCTGCTGTAGTTAGAGCCAGCCCAGCTTTCTGAGGACCTGTGTTTGTACAGTAGACATCTTTCCTGTTCCTTTACTTTGAACTTGACTGTGGCTTTGGATTTTAAAATGCATTTCTTATAGGCAGCATATGCTCAAATCTTGCATTTTAACCATCTTGACAATCTCAGGCTTAATTGGAATATTTAGACATAATTGGAATGTAATTGTTGATAGGGTTGAATTTAAATCTGCTGTTTTTGCTATTTTTTTTTTCTTGTCTCCGACTCACGCACGAAAAGGCTCCTGGCTGTGGGGTTTTGGAACGAAGGCTGTCGTGGGTTAGGAAACTGTCTTCCATCACAGTGTGTGGAGGCTGGCATCTCCAAGCCCCTCGGGGGATGGATGTTCACGAAACGCCCTGCCTGCCAGTGGCAGGTGGGGTTTCCCCCAAGTTTCCGTTCCGGGGAACTGATGGTCGGGCTGTGTTGACAGGAGCACTGTGCCTGGAGTACTCGTGAGGATAGGAGCCCCCGCCCCGGCTCTGAGCGAGTGGGGTGCACAGCACTGCCTGTGGGTTTCTCCTTAGGTGTCTGGGGAATGTGTCTCGCTTTGCCAAGCGCAAGCTTCTGGAGAGGAGCGCTAAATGGAAACGGGCGCTTAGAGTCCTCACTTGAGTTCGGTACCGACGACCGCTGTCCTTGGTGCTGAGGACCTGAAGGCGCGCCCTAGCCCTAGAGATCGCAGGTTTGGGGAGAATCCTGCTAGCAGCTCATCCCAACCGATAGGAAGGGCTGGCACCCGTCCGGTGTGACACAGAGGTCTAAAGCCCGCGGTGCCCACGCCCCTTGGCATCTGCACCTTTCTGGTGCCTCAGCCTGGAACCCACGCTCTGCCCTCCCACGTGGATGGCTCTGTACAACAGCGTAGCTCCCCCTGCGTCATCTCAGCAGATGAGCTGGTCTCAAGGCGTTTCTTTCCTTGCACGGCTGTCTTTGTTGAGAATAGAGAAAGGTTTGCTAACCACGTATGTGCAGGTGCCCCCAGGCCCCGAGAACCCCCTCTGCCCTCGGCCGGATGGCGGGGCTGCCTTCCAGGGCTCCAGCCATCGTCTGCTGCTTTCCATCGTCCTGCTCTTACATCCGCTCCACATCAGCCATCATACGGTGGCAGAATAAAGCCAGCCCCAGACTCTGCTGCTCCTTCCCCCGGAGGTTCTGTCCCCCACCCTGGGATCAGGTGGGCTCTTGGGCAGCTTCGTCCCGCGGGATGCGGTGGATGAGACCTCATGCAGCTCTCAGCTTGGCTTCTGTGACAGGCAGCTTCCGCCTTGGCCTCTAGGAGCCCCCAGCTGCCATAGGTGACATAGGGCTGGTAGTCAGAGGCCCCGTGGGGGGACCCCGGGCCTGCAGGGTGCCCCCAGGTCTCCGCAGGCCAGTCTGCAGTGGCCCCAGTTTGACCTCAGGCAGCCCCTGAGCTCCCGGCTCCCAACAGTGTGCGAAGCCCTCCTGCCAGGCGTCCCGCAGCCCTGGTTCACTGCCCAGCGCTTCACGCTGCCCCTGCTGTGTGCGCTGCTCATCCTGCCCCTGTCCGTGCCTCGGGAGATCGCCTTCCAGAAGTACACCAGGTACGTGGGCTGCAGACCATGTGGCAGGTGGTTACGCTGGCTGTACCCATTGTGAGCGTTGGTACAGGAAGGACACGGGAGCCGCGGGGCTGCACCTCCTGTTTGGAAAAGGGGAAAAATGGGAACTCACGCAAGTAATATGAGCCCATGGGAGGAAAGAGAGGTCACATCCTGTTTTGCTATGTCACTGTTAGAGGCTCTGTGTGCAGACAGGGAGAGAGATGTGCAGGCCTGTTCTTCGCTTTTGCCTCCAGGCTTTCAGTGCACTGTTGCAAGGAAGCCTGGCACCAGGGCCACCCCTGTGGGCTGCCCGCCCTTGCTGTTCTGTGTACAGTCAGCGGGTTTTCCCTGGAGACCCACTGTACCCACCCCCATCTGTACCCCTTGAAGCCAGGCCAAGGTCGATTCCCTCTGCTGTGTGGCTGAGCCGATGGTGGCCTGGCTTGGGTGCCAAACCCGAGTGGCTGGCTGGCTGTCCTGGCATCCTCCGGGACACCAGGCGACAGTAGGGTTCCACACGTCTGACTGGGCCAGTGCAGTACTGCCTGAGCTCCTCACAGCGCTCACAGATGAGGGGGCACAGGTTCTGGTGCAGCGGGTAGGAGCACTGCACTGGCCAGGGCTGAGCTGGGGTTCAACCCTGCCGTGCTCCCCAGTACTGGCCACACGTGTCACCCCGGGAGGTCCCTCACGCTGTCCCCATCTGCATGTCAGCATCCTAGGCACCTTGGCTGCCTGCTACCTGGCTGTGGTGGTGATGGCACAGTACTATCTCTGGCCCCAGGACCTTGCACGCGAGCCCCGCCCCTCACAGAGGTGAGTCTTCGGGAAGCGCTTTCCGAGGCTTCCGGGTTCCTTCGCAGTCCAGCTCCTTCCCCGGGAGCTCTTGTGTCTGTGATATATGATAAAGCCCAGGGAAAGCCCTTCCTCCACAAAGGACAGGCCTGGGGCCCCGGGCAGATGCGGAGGCAGTGGAACCCAGTAGCTGGACAGTGCCTGGCACAGGGAAAAGCAAGAAGTGGGAGGTGGGGCCAGCTGGAGCCAGGGCAGGGGCTGGGGTGAGGGTGGAGCCTCCAGGACGGTTTGATCATCTCCAGGGAAATGGGAGACACTGCCTGTTCCGACTTCAGCGTGGCTTCTCTAGAGGATGCCTGGGCCCTGTGGTGTGCTGAGCCGGGTCCGAGACAGAGACCGTAGGGACCCTGCCCAGATCCTGTGCTTCCAACCGAGGAGCTGGAGCAGGAGGTGACAGACGTGGTCAGACTTGCTGTAAAGTGACCCCAAGTGGAGGGCTCATCCCATCGGGGATGCCTCTCATCCTGGAGCTGAAGTCCAGAATCACAGTGTCTGACAGCCAGGGGGAGGCGCTTCTCTGCTTTTTCAGCTCCCGGTGGCGCCAGCAACCTCTGTCTTTGTCGTGCAGCGGCCTTGCTCTCCCGGCTGCTGCCTCTTCAGATTGTCTTCTCCCTGTGTGTCTCCTCTCAGAAGGGTGTCACGCACGGGATTTGGGGTTCCTGACCCAGCTCGCCCCACCTTAATCACACATATACAAGGCAGATTCTGAGGTATGGGGGGCCCTGCTCCATGCAGTGTGGGGGATGATGGGGTTCCTGAGATGAGCAAATATAACTAGGAGGTGGGAGTGAGCACCGGCCGTCAGATTTGGCCATGGAGGTCACTGGTGCTGTGATGAGCCACGTCGGGGGACAGACAGGCGGGGCAGGGGGATGGCAAAGAGCCACAGATGTGGGGAGCAGGGAGAGGTGGTGGGGTCAGAGCACGTTTGGGGGCCGCTGGGAATAACCAGCAGAGAGAGAGAATGGCACAGGAGCGGGCTGACTGAGGCCAGGGTGAAACACAGGCATCTCATGACCGGAAGCCTGGCCACCCCTGGCTGTGCCACAGAGCAGCATAGAGCAGCAGCTCCAGCTCAGGGTCCCGTAGCTGTTGTGACAAGGGACCACGTGCTTAGTAGCTTAAGGCAAATGTCCGGCTCCCCGTTCTGAGACCAGAAGTGCAACCCCAGAGTCACAGGGCGCACTGAAGGGAGAGGCAGGGCTGGCTCCTTCCAGAGCTCCAGAGAAGGTCATTCCTGCCTTCGCAGCCTGTCACAGCCACCTGTAGTGCTCAGCTTGTGGTTCCTTCCTCCTCCTGCTGAGCAGCCACCTTGTGTTTCTCTGTGCCTCCTGCCGCCGTCCCCCCACAGCCAGGCAGGGATCTCTGCCAGGGCTGCTGTGCCCTGGGCTCAGCTGAGTGACGTCAGAGTCTCCCTCATCCCGAGTTCTTTCGGCCCGTGAGGTGACATACGTTACGCGCAGGTTTCCGGGGGATGGAGGGAGTGAGCCTCTTGGTGGGCCGGTGTTCTGCGGGGGACGCTGTTTACACCCCAGCCTGCTGTGTCCCCTCTTGGTGCTGGAGGCTGGCTCGGACAGGAGCTGGTCACAGGAAGCTGGGGTCACCAGGGAGGAGCCCCGGGGCCTTGCCCTGCAGGCTCTGGCCATGCCCACCTCTGCCCTCTTTGGTGGCTGGTCTGACTACTCGGACTTCATTGAATGGAAGCTGCCCCCACCTTGCACCTGACAGCTCGGGAGCAGGGGCCCCAGGAGGGAGGTAGGAGCCCCGCTAGCCCTCGGCTTGCACAGGTCCCGCCCTGTGGGGACTGCCACATTACCACATATCAGCAAAGGGGCATTTCAACAGGGCAGTGTGTAGCCAGCACCCTCTTCCATCCCCAAAGCCTTGTCAGGGGCACAGTCGTTAAAACCACGCCTCCGGCCACACTTGGTCACATCTCCCCCGGGGCCATTTAGATTCCTCTTTTCACACTGCGGGAGACCTGCGTCTGGCCATTGCTTAATGAACACCCATTCCTGTCTGCCCGCAGCACCTCCTCCTGGACATCCGTGTTCAGTGTCTTCCCCACCATCTGCTTCGGATTCCAGGTGAGGGCAGGACCCCCTGTTCCCTGGGGATGGTGTGGCTTCCCTCGGGAAAGGCTGGGGACTTGCTCTAGGATACGATGGCTCTCAGCCGTCTTCCCAAGACTCTGCAGGTGGATGGCACCTGGACTCCTAGGGTGCATAAACTGCCCTTATATTTGGGGCCCCGACTTTCACATATAGCGACAACAGCACCATGCTGATTGGGTCCGGGGTGCAGCAGAGACCTGGGACCTGTCCCCCTCTCTGCAGAATGCTCACAGGACTGTCACTGCAGGGACACCTGGAAACAGGTGGCTTCTGCCAGTGTCCTGTGGCTGCTGTGGCCTGAGAGAAGGTTCACACCATGGGAGGCCCCAGGCTGGAGGGGCCAGGAGTGCACAGGTGTCCTGGTGCTGGGACAGACAACAGTCCCCTAGAACGCGCTGGAGCAAGGACTCGGTTCTGTGCGGTGTCCGAGCAGAGGGGTGGGGTGTCAGAGACACCTGCGGAAGGACACAGGAGGAGCCAGGTGGAGGGACAGCAAGGTGTGAAGAGGCTGGCATCTGCTCACGTCCCAAGCTGGTGGCGGTCGACAGTACCCTTCATGTGTCACTGTAAGGACAATTTGCTCTGACTTCCGAACACAGCCACCACCACTGTTCCAAGCACAGCCAGGTCTGCAGAATTTGGGATAGTTCTCAATTTGCAGCCTCTTGAGATTTTCCTCCCTTTATCCACCAGCTTGGTCCCAGTTTTGTTCTTCATCTTGCACTTTGTGGAAGAGCCATTTTAGCAATAACAAACCAACCAACCTTTCTCTTTCTCTTTTCCTTGAGAACATTTTTGAAAACATGTAGGAAATGTTCTCATTTCTCTTCCGCATAAGTCACTAGTGTCACGTCTGGGGCTTGGCCGACGGCTCACGCGGGTTCCCGGTGTTTTACAAGATGTGTGGTACCGAGTCACTGCTGGCTGTTGTCCGGGTTCCGCGCAGCTGCCCTGCGCCTCTTGGCACCTCCCAGATGCCCGCAGGCTGTACCTTTGCCCCTGCAGCTCCTTCATCCGTTCTCCTAGCAACAAGGCCAGCTGTGGTTGCCTGGGACATGGCCTTGGCGGTGATGGCGTGAGCGTGGGGGGTCGGGCTCAGGCCAGAGAGGGCGTCAAGATCTGGCTCCGAGTGTGGAGGCCTGGGGGTGGGGGGAGATGCAGGTGAAGGTGGTAGGAGGTGGCCAGGCTGGACCTCTTGTCACCAGGAGGTCTGAGCCCCCACAAGCACATTTAGCAGTGCACAGCTCCCTCTAACCAAAGCTGTACGGAGCTGGTGAGGGTTCTGCTCCCTGTGGCCACACTGGGACTTCCGGCTCTTGTTTTTATGCCTCTTTACTGACCTGTGATTCACCTCCCATCCAGTCCACTCCTCTACAGTGTACAACCAAGTCACACAGCCGTCACCAGGAGGCCCCATGCCCGGTAGCGGTGGCCCTGCACCCACCCCCAGCCTCTGGTAACCTCGGACCCCCATCTGCCTCTGGGTTTCCCTGTGAGGGGCGCTTCCTACAAACGGGGTCATGTGACGTGTGGCCCTTTGTGTCCAGCCGCTCTCCTTGTCGCTGTTCCCAGCTTTTCTGCACACTGCACGTCTTAGCTCCGTTAGGGTTTTTGTTTTGTTTTTTTTTTGAGACAGGGTCTCACTATGTCATTGAGACTGACCTAGAACTCACTGTGTAGCCCAGGCTGGTCTTGAACTCACAGCAATCCTCCTGCCTCAGCCTCCTGAGTACTGGGATTACAGGTGTGCGCCACCACACCCAGCCAGCTTTGTTAGGATTAACAGCCGAGTGATATCCCAGGGTGTGCTTCTATGCCTCAGTTTGCACCTGCAGGTTGCCCCTGTCCCTGCTCTGCCTCCATCCCGAGGAGCTGTGAGCCCACCAGCCCAGCCAGCCCCAGACACTGCCCTGCAGAGGAGCCACGCTTTCCTGCTGGCCACTCAGAGAGATGGCCCATGCAGGAGTACGATGGGGTCGCCTTGTGAGGTGCACCGCTGTGGGCCACAGAGCTGCAGGTCCCTGGGGCCATGGTGAGGAGTCAGGATGTGTGACAGGTGCAGGAGACAGGGACTTACCCGTGAGTCTGGCTGCTGCTGGTTGGGGTCCAGGGTGCCTCGCTGCCCAGCTGAGCCTGCCAGCAGCCCAGGTGCCCCAGGAGGTCAGGGCGTCCTCAGGGAAGAAAGCACAGGCCAGAGGCTCAAGGGCCAGGAGGGCGGTGCTCCACTTCCACCGTGCATGCTCTGTGAGGGCCACCACGCTGGCCGGGTCACACCTTGCCCCAGCTTGAACGGGGCTGGGCTCGAGCATCTGCGTGCTGGCCCGCTGGAGGCAGGGGTGCTGCTCACCCTGGGTGCCATCAGCCGTGGCAGGCTCTGGACCCGCTCAGGATGAGCGGGCTACAGGACCAGGGCGGGATATCCTCCGAGGGAGGACAGGACGACATCAGAGGAGGCATCTGTGTCTCCTCGCGAGGGAGGGACCCTGCCAGGGCCAGGAAGAGCCAGGCGAAGGGGCACCTGTGGCACCATTGCCTCAGCCCTGGCTGCCCTTAGGGCCCTCGGCTGTGTGGCGCTGGTGTCGGGACCAGAAAGCTAGATCGCAGGTGGCTCCTGGTGTTGGCTGAATGAGGCTTACTGTGACACTCCACGTGACCCGCAACTGTGTGAGTCACGGATCCGTGGTTCTCCATGTGACATCGCCACCCCCAGGCGTCCCCTCGCCAGCTTCTCCAGTCAGTCCCTTCCTCTGCCCCAACCCACTGTCCTGCTGTGTCATGGTAGAGCTGGGACCCCAGCAGGCAGTGGTGCCCCAGGGGACACGTGGCCCCTTGTGGATCAGTTTTGGGTGACACAGATGGCGCCATGCCCAGGTGCTACATGCCGTCCAGCAGGACACGGGCAAGCCCCACCACCAGCAGTGGTCCCTCTGCTGTGTCTCCGGGGCAGAGGCCCAGCGCCTGTCATAGGTGTGTCTGCCTTGTGACCTGCCATTAAGCTCATGGAGGTGTTCTCTCCTGCGGGGGTGTGTATTACAGGGTGCTGAACCCAGGGCTTCTACAGCCCTTTTTATGTTTTGAGATAGAGTCTTACTAGGTTACTAAACTGCCTAGGTTGGGCTCAAACTTGCAGTCCTCCTGCCCCAGCCTCTCCAAGTGCTAGGATTAGAGGTGTGCACCACCACACCGGCTACCTGGCTTCTTTCTCTGGGTTTGTAGTGTGTCCATATGACTATTCTGTGTTGAGGCATGAGGTCATGTTTAACCTTTTTCAGGGCCACATAACACTCCACAGTGAGAGTCATGTGGTTTGCTTCTAGCCCTGCTGTCTGGGCATGGACAGGTGCTCCACAATTTCTGGGCACAGCACTCGCCCCATGGCTCCAGGTAGGTCTAACATCCACTGGCTGGAGTCCCGCTGAGCCACCGCTCTGTGTTCCAGTGTCATGAAGCCGCTGTGTCCATCTACTGCAGCCTGCGCCCGAGGAGCCTGTCCCACTGGGCCCTGGTCTCTGTGCTGTCCTTGCTGTCCTGCTGCCTCCTCTACTCGCTGACAGGTGGGCACTGCCCGGGGTGCCAGGACCAGAGGAGGAAGGGCAAGGATGGCACACAGTGCCCTGCGTTCTAAGGGCTTTTGCTAGTTGCCTCCTCAGCACCCACAGGACAGGCCCCGGGCCATAGTGAGGAAACTGAGGCCAGATGGCTCTGGGGCTCAAACACAGCCTTGCCCTGGAAGGGCAAAGCCAAGTCCCTAGTCTGGCTGCCCTCACACTGACGCCCACCCCGCCCAGTGTTTGGGGGACAGGCTGGTGGCATCTCATCTGGTGATGCCTCATCTGGGTATCGCATTACAGCACGGTGTTCCCAGCTGTGTGAGGTAGGCTGGCACTGTCAAAGGTGACAAAAGTCTAGCTCGGCAAGGGATGTGACATACCCAAGGTCACACAGCACATCAGCAGCCCATTCTGCCCAGGCTGACTTCGTCCGGCCGCTGTCCATCCTGGTTGTGCTTTCCTTCATCTGCCTCCATACCAGGAAGGGCCTTCGGCTTTGAGGTCCCGGAGAAGCCTGCTGGGGACCTCTTCCCAGCACGGAGGTCCTGAGGCCCTGCAGCCCGGGCCAGGGGCCTCATGTCTGTGACCGTGCGTCACCTCTTGGCATCCCTGGTGCTGGGGCTCAGCAGAATCGCGGGACTCCCAGGCCCTGGGGGGAGCCACAGGCGAAGACCTCTCAGGACAGACGGGATGTGGGTGACTGAGAGCAGCGTTGGACTGGGGCCCGGGGACAGGCCAGCTGGCTGGTCCTGTGCGACTGGCTCTGTGATTCTGGACGATGGTTGACACCCCAGCCTTGGTCGCCCCGTCTGGAAAAGTCTGGAAAAGGGTACACAGGCAGCCGCTCTCCATAGCCGCTGTGGAATGAGGTGCACAGTGCAAGGTGCATTTGTTTCCCAAGTGCTGCATCTCTGCCGGGCCAGTGCCGCTCTCCACAGTGGAGGGGCCCAGCTCCGAGCCATCCATAGGGGGAGACAACCTGGGGAAATAGCAGGCCGGCCTGAGGTGGTGCAGACGTTTTCTAGCGGGAGCTCCCTGGCCTCCATCTTTCCCCTCTGCAGGAGTTTATGGTTTCTTGACCTTCGGGTCCGAAGTTTCTGCAGACATCTTGATGTCCTACCCGGGCAACAACACAGCCGTGGTCATTGCCCGGGTCTTCTTTGCTGTCTCCGTTGTGACCGTCTACCCCATTGTGCTCTTCCTGGGGAGGTGAGCCCTGCCGAGGGTGGGGGTGGGGTCCTCACACCACGCTGTGCTTCTCGGCCTCCTGTGGCATGTGGTAGCTCGGCACAGGGCTGTCCTGCTCTCTGAGAATCAGGGAGGAAGCGTGGGCACGGAGCGCTCAGGGGGTTTTACTCGAAGCTGCCCCTCCACACTGCCAGCAGCCCAGGCCTGGTGGTGCGGGGTAGGAGGCCTGCTGGGTGTTGGGTGGCGACTTGGGAGGGCTGGTGGCTGGCGATGCCCGTGTGTGCCCGTGACCCTGTGGCCTGCAGGTCCGTGATGCAGGATTTCTGGAAGAGAAGCTGCTGTGGGGCACAGGGGCCACCAGTGCTGGCCGACCCCTCGGGGCCGTGGGTTCGGGTGCCGCTGACTGTCCTGTGGGTGGCTGTGACGCTCGCGATGGCCCTGTGTCTGCCCGACCTCGGCAGCATCATCGGCGTCATTGGGGGTGCGAGCGCCTTCTTCATCTTCATCTTCCCAGGTGAGCACCGCACGGAGCCCTGTGCTGGGCAGAGGTCACAGTCTAGGGGGTGGGACTGGGGCCCTACGTGGGTGCCTGGCCACCGAGCTGGGCCAGCGCTGGGCCCTCCGTACTTGCTGTGGTGGAGCAGCTCAGCAGCCCCTCACAGGCCCACCTGTGTGAGAAATGATCGAAAATTACCGTCAAAGTTGACCTTTAAAAGTTTTATTACGCCAAAGGGCACGTTGCCATGAATCCCCCCAGAATACTGCCCTCACTTCGAACACACTTGTCATTGGAGCTGTTCTGGAAGTGCTCTCTCGTGTCCTTAGTTGTATTGTCACGGCTGCCTCGATGTCCTGAACTGATTCAAAATGTTTCCCTCTCGTCATCATTTTGACTTTGGGGAAGAGAAGTTGCACGGTGCCGGATCAGTCACGTTTTTCTGAGCCGGCTTCTCCGTCGGATGCACTCGGTGACAGCGGTCACATATTTCTGATCACACGTGTAAAACACACGTGGAAGAGCTGCCGGGCTCTGGCTGAGTGCTGACCCCCCAGGCCTCCAACCACAGGCTGAGCGGTGGGGCCACCTCCGGCAAAGGCCTGTGATCTCCCGCGTCCCCTGAGGGATGTCGGTGGCTCTCGCCCACAGCTCTCCCTTTGCGTGGTCTGTGAGGGGGGCGGGGTGAGCCTGTGTCTCCTCCCCAGGTTTATGCCTCATCTGCACTGTGGACGTCGAGCCCATAGGACCAAGAGTCAGGTGAGTGTGCCCAGGGTGGGGGTGGCAGTGTGGCCAGGAGTGAGGCTGCTCCTGTCTTGTAGATAGGGATGGAAGGCTGCCCTGGGAGATGGCATCTGGGTCGTCAGACACCTGGCCAGTGACACTGGGGCTTGCATTCTGTCTGACATTGCCGTCGGCTCTGAGCACCTGGCTGGAACCGTCTGTGGACCTGCTTAGGGACCCATGAGTGGCGCATCTTCCCTCTTGTTACCCGGTTCAGACTAGGACAGGAGCGCATACGTGGCGGCCTCAGCCAGCAGAGCCCAGCTGATGTGTTGTCGTGGTAGCAGGCTTGCTGGGGTCCTGTCTCCCCACCCTGCAGCCCAGGCTCCTGCATCTGAACCCTTATACTGCTCGCCTCCCACATTTCCTCCCCACAGATATGGAAGTAGAGGCCAAGACAGACAGAGGGGCTGTGTTAGTTTTCTGGGGCCGCTGTCACAAATCTTCACTAGCAGGGGGGCCTTGATGCAGCAAAGATCGGCTCTCCCCCTTCTGGAGCTGGAGGCTGGCGGCTGAGAGGAGGCGCTGCTGGGCTCACGGCTGCCTCGTCCCAGCCTGCCTCCGTTCTCACAGGCTTCCCTGCCTCGGCGGTCACATCCCTGTAGCCTTTCTCTTAGGAGGACAGTCGGGATCACAGGCCCACTCTAAATCCAGAATGATCACCTCAGCCTTGTGCTTCGTTACCAAACAGGTCTGTCTGTCAGTGCCAGGCAGGTGGGAATCTGGTGGCGCTTCAGTCACTCTGAGGTCCCAGCTGCAGGCCTGTGGCCCACATCCTCTAGCCCCAGCCCCACCGTGCCCACGCCTGTTTCTCCAAAATCACAGCGTGGCGTGGCTCCCAAACTGGACTGAGAAGGGTGTTCTGGACATCCCCAAACTGCCCTTGGGCTCCCAGCTGGCCCCATGTCCAGTGCCCCGAAAAGGCTTCTCAGTTGCAACTGCTCACTCTAGGAAGCTTGCGCCTGTGGCCTTGGTGGCTGTTGGTCCCTGCCAGCCCTGCTCCTCCACCCTCTCCCCTAGCAGCTGCCAGATGTGTGTGTTACAAGCAATGGAGCAAGGTTTTTAAAAGGCTGGAGTCCTTTGTTTGCCAGTGTCTCTGAGACCTGTCTCTCCAGGGCGAAGGAAGTGTGGCAGTTCCTCCAAATAGGAGCTGCTAGTGGGCTGCACGGTGCAGGTTTTCGTGCGTGCTTGACCGGGGGCGGAGGTGGAGACCTCCAGCACCCTGGCTGACTGGGCTCTGTGCCTTGGCAGGTACTGCCTGGAGGCCTGGGGTGTGGTCTCGGTGCTGCTGGGCACCTTCATCTTTGGGCAGAGCACCGTGGCCGCCATCCTGGAGCTGCTCTGAGGAGCCTCTCCAGCGTCTGGCTCGAGAGGAGACTGGTGTGGCTGCTGTTGGTGTGAGGATGCTGCTCACGGACTCCCCCGCCCCCTGGAGCTCACCGGTTCTGCTTGCTCTTGGGGGTTCCGGGCTCACTGACAGAAACTGGCTGCTGCACCCTCCCTCTGGAGGCCCCTTCCTGCCCTCTTTCCTGCCAGGACCCTGGGGTCACTTGACTTGTTGGTTTCCCTCCGGTCTGTTTTCATCTTTGTGTGGCCGCCTCCCTGGATGTCTGTGTTCAGATTTCCCTCTTCTCGTGGGACATTCAGTTAGGCTGCAGCCTGATTTAGTGTGTTGGCAACTGGACTTGACTGGATCTCATTTAATAACTCAGTTAAGATGTGCAAGAGTCCAGTCTCCAAGTAGGGCCGTGTTCCCTGGGCCCAGGGTTAGGGCTTCAGATTCTCTTCCTATGTGTACGGCTCAGCCCTTAATAGAGGGGGAGGCACAGCAGGCTGAAGCCCAGAGAACCAGGCTTTGGGGTGTTGGGTTCAAAGCTACCAGCTGAGCGCAGTGGGTGGGGGCCCAAGGGGGATCTAGGCTGTGTCCCTTGCAGTGGCAGTGCACTCGTGGTATAGTCACAATCCTGTCTAGATCAGTGGACCCCAGTGTGATGGCTTAGCTCTATAGTGTACCCCCAAAGTCTTGGGGCCCTGTGCTTGCCAGGGGATTTATCCACTGAGGAGATCATGGCTAAATGCGCCATTAAGGCAGCGGGGCCTGTTGGAGGCGGTCTCAGGGGATGTGACCTGAAGGAGAGCGTTCTTATTACTGGCTCCTCCCTCCTCTCTCTCTGCTTCCTGACTACATGGGCTGAGCCTCTTCCCTCTGCCAGACTGTTCCTGTCTTGGAGCCAACCTGCCATGGACTGAGCCCACTAAAACCGTGAGTCAAAATAAACCTGTCTCCTTAAGCTGTATCAGGTATTGTGTCCTAGAGACAGACAAGTGACAGGTACAGCCTGCAGGTGACTGCCCAGGGCAGGCCTGCGCACCTTTCCCTTCCATCACTGCACCCTGGGTGCCTAGAAGCCAAGTGGACCATGTGCCCTGCGTCTTGCCTGAGCCCACCCTGACACTGTGCAGTTGTCACACCTGCCGTGGAGGGTGACAGAGGACAGGACCTCAGAAAGGGGAGCGGGGGGAGTGGGAAGGGACCCATGTCCATGTGTCCCTGCCTTTAACCCTGCCTGGGGCCACGTCCTGGGTGTTGCTGACTCAGGCCACATTTTTCTACCTTGGTTTCACCCTCAGAAGCCAGTGCGGTGACAACCAGGGAGAGTAGAGCTGCCATTCCTGACTCTTTTTATCATGTATATGGCAAGCCAGGCTCTGGGCCAGGCCCTTCTTGTATATGTCCTGTGCTGTGTCTGGGACCATGTGAGGTTAGGAGTGATAAGTTCATTTCTTTGGTTTTCTTTCTAGCCCATCCACATGCATGAATTTTTAAAATGGTGATATAATTTGTGTGCATGAATTTTGCCCCTTTGCAGTGTGCTGCTCAGTGGTTTCCTGTATAGTCACAGGGTTGTGTAGCCGCCCCCCCGTTTGTTCCTAGCATGCTTTCATCACCCCAAGAAGACCCCTGAGAACCAGTCACTGCCTATGTCCCCTGTCCTCAGCCTCAGGCAATGAGTCTGCTGTCAGCCTCTGAGGTTTGCCTGCCTCAGCTTCCTGTAAACAAACACGTGGCACAAGGTCCTGTGTGTGACTCCCTGGATGTTACATGATACTTCCAGGTCTAGACATTTTGCAGGTGAAGGCCACTGAGGCCTGGCAAAGTCGAGGCTGCCTGTCCTGCAAGGCACAGAGTTGAGATCAGAGATGGTTTGGGGCTGAATGCTGTTGTCCACACTCCAGGCTGAGGAGGCACTGTGGGGCAGACCAGTGTGCCTGGCCTGGGGGAGGTGACGCGCCCTCTGCCAGCCTCCATCCTGGCCACAGTGGCGGGGGCATGCGCTATCCCATGGCCAGCATCCTCCCAGGCGGGGCCCTGGGGAGCAGGACCACGGGGCAGTGTTGCTTTAGTGGCGCCTTGTCATCTCAGCGTGGGCTGAAGGCAGGCAGCCTTTCGTGTGTTACTGGTCCCGTCTGCTTCTTGAAAGGCTATGCGGGGCTGGTGGGGAGGGCTGGGCCGTGCTGGACAGTACTGGGAGTCCCGGAATGGTGGAGCAGCGCATTCAGGCCAAGCGGTCTTGGAGCCTTGGGAAACTGAGGACCATTTTCTAGCGTTCAGTGCCTCGGCAGCATCCAGAGCAGGCTTACTGTGTGGTGTGTTTATGAAGGCAGAGTGCTAGTGACTCGCGAGCAGTGGGGACCCAGACAGCTTTGCTTCGGGAAACCTAGGACGAGCTCGGCAGGTGAACATCAAGGTTCCCTGCAGCCCAGAGGAAAGGGGAGTTGTATGATTTGAGGGCTCAGCCGGAAGCAGGAAAGCACAGCGGGATGCAAGTGGCTAGGCTGTAAACGCTGAGAGGAGGCCGAAGCGCTTCAGGGACGGCTGAATGCTCCACGTGGGCAGAGGCTTCTGTCTTCCTGTGAGCCGCACATCAACCCTAACCCCGCGGGAACGAGCCTGGCCTGCTTGGGAAAGCAGTGCTCTGCTGTCTGCCTAGGGAAGGGACTGTCCTGCTTGGCACCACAGCTCGCCAAGGCATGGACCGTGGCCGCGTGGGGAGGACGGTGCTGCCTTTGGGCAGGTGGTGTGCAGGGTTCGTGTGTGCACTGGGCCAGGAGGAGCCGAGTGTCCTCGCTGCCGCTTTCTGGCTGTGTCCTCAGGGCACCGTGCCCGTCCTCAGGGCACCAGCACATGCTGGCCCTGGTCTCAGGGTCCTGCCTCTTGCTGTGACTTCCATCCTCTGGGTGCTCATCTGGGACAAAGCCGAGGCCAGCCCTAGGGTGAGCTGAGGGTACCTGCAGTGCTCTTGGCAGCGAGCCTGGCCTACCACGAGCTCCAGGTCAGTGGGACAACTCTGCCGGAGCACAGAGACCCCAGCCTCCGCTCCACTCCCAGCACGGCCAGGTGACATTCTTCGTGGGAAGGGCCTGTGCTCCTGCGGGTGGGCTTCGTGAGCTGGTGGGAACCACTGCCCCAGGGGCGCCTGTCTGCAGGTTCAGCAGCCTAGCCTGGTGCTGCTGGCCCCGCACCGTGCACCTCCTGTAGGGATCCTGAGCTTAGGATGGGGCCCCGAGAGGATGTGGGTGGCTTGCTGTGGCTGACTTGCTAGGATTTTGAACTACAGTGACATTCGTATGACAGCAGATTGGCCCCTGGAGGTGTGCAGTCTGGGGTAGCTGGTGTATAAGGTGCTACTGCACTGTCCTTCCGGCTCAGAACCTTTCCAGCAGCCCAGTAGCCCAGCTTCCCCATCAATTGTTCATCTGCGCTCTGCCCAGCAGGGTGATTTCCTGAAAGTGGTCATATATCACGCACGCCCCATCCAAGAGGCCCACAGCGCCCCAATGTGCCGCTTCAGGCCTTTTTAGGGCTGAATGTTGTCGCCCTGTTCTGAGCCCACAGGGTCTGGGTTCCAGGGCCCACCGACTGCCAGTCTCCACGTCCAGCTGCGTGGCATCGCCTGTAACATGGCCACAGCTCCGCAGATGACCTGCGGCGCCTGGTGCAGTGTGCGGTGAGGCTGTGGGGTGCAGTGACGGCTGGGCAGCGCAGATGGACACTGCGGACTGTGCTGGGCCTGACCGCGCAGTTCAGTTCAGGTCAGGACCACAGGGCAATCATTTTCTTCTCACAACATGTGGTCAGTCCCACAGCTGCAAACCTGTGGGTATGGAGGACCGGGTGGGCGCAGGGGTCCACTGTGTCCTGCATGTCTGTCACTGGCTGGTGAATGTGAACCTGGGCCACGGACACCAGGCTGGAACGTGTGTGCGCGGGCGCTGTGCACTCTGCGGGGTGCAGTCCCCCTTGGGAGCACTTCTGCTGGTGGCTTTTTGAGGAAGCTGGTGTGGATATTGAGGTGGTGCCAGGTGGCAGGTGGGTGAGCACAGGATAGGGTCGGTGGGGCTGGGTTTAGATGAGGCCTGGGCTACTTTGCTGTGTGACCTCTGCAGAGTTGCCAGCCCCCTCTGTGTCTCACCTGTCCCGATGGGCACGGCCCAGTGTGTGTCCAGGGTAAGTCCTATGTGGGCCTACTCTGTGCCTGACACTGGAGCAGGGATCACGAGTTAGCTGTGCCCAGGTATGGTCAAGACCTGTGCTTGCCGAGCTGCTTCCCCTTGCAGCGATGCCATTCAGGACAGCAGGTGAGTATGGGGGCACAGGGTGCACCAGTGGGGGCGCTCATTCGTACCCCAAAGAGCTCCTGAGAATATTTTTTAAAAAGTTGAGCCACCAGGGAACACAGCAGGCTTGGCAGCAGGCAGACACATGTTCTGGCCTTTTAAGATACCGTGAGGAGATGGCAGGACCGGATCAAGGGAACAGGGGCTGCTGGGTACCCGGTGAGCTGAGGGGCAGGAGAAGGGCAGGGATAACCGCAGCAGGGCCGTCACAAGCCCCGAGCACCCCAGGCTCCCGCAGGACCGGACCGGGCTTCCCAGCCCCGTCCTCTCATCCCAGCACCCTAGGTATGGTCTCTAGGCAGGGGACCTGCCTCTCACCGCCTTGTTGCCCTGAGACTTCTGTGGCAGGCCAGAGCCGAGAGAGGAAGCCACAGAGCTTCCGGAACAGGACTTGGGATGGGACAGAGGGCAGCGTCGGGGCCTCCGTGTTGTGGGAACAGAATCCGGTGCGTGGCAAGGTTGACACCTGCCAGTCACGGGGGTCCCTGACCTCCAGGCCAGGCATGAGTGTAGCTGTCGACTCACCTACGCCAGGGAGCTGTTAACCATTTTAGGTAAGGACGCCAAGGTCCTGGCCGTGGGAGGCCCGGTTCCACTTCCACCGGAAAGAAGGGGGTTATCCTGGTCCCCCCAGAGCCGAGGAAGCACAGCACACGGCCGGTCCTGACTGGAGTTTATTTGGCGCCTGTGCCTGGTGGTGGCAGGCTGCTGGGCATGGCCCTGGCTACACGGGCTCTACTGCTGTCTACGGGCCTGGCCCAGGATGAGCTTGGACACTACGGGGTCGAGGCTCCTACCAGGCAGAGGTAATGGCTGGGGGGAGGAAGGGGCGGGCGGTCGGGGCATCCTGCTGAGCCTCAGCCCTGGGTGAGGGGTGTGGGCCCAGGAGGCCGCCCCATCGCCACGGCTGTGGCCTCAGCAGGGGGGCGGGGCAGGGTCATCCTCCGTGTTTGACAGCAGGGAAAGCATCTTCCTCTTTAGAAGTATATTGAAAAGACAGCTCGTGTACCAAAGTGTCTAGAAAAGAGGGGCGTCCTTTACAAGAGGAGGGGACAAGATAGCAGGCTCTTCCATGGGGCTGGGGGTGGTGGTCAGTCTCGGCCCACGGTGCACCACGCAGCTGGAGGCGGGGCAGGGTCATCCTCCGTGTTTGACAGCAGGGAAAGCATCTTCCTCTTTAGAAGTATATTGAAAAGACAGCTCGTGTACCAAAGTGTCTAGAAAAGAGGGGCGTCCTTTACAAGAGGAGGGGACAAGATAGCAGGCTCTTCCATGGGGCTGGGGGTGGTGGTCAGTCTCGGCCCACGGTGCACCACGCAGCTGGAGGGAGAGAGGTTGGGGGAAACGGCTCCGGGTGCTGACCCAGGCAGTGGCACGGCTCCCGCACCCGCTGCCGGCAGATCCATCTGCTGCCCCATCCTCTGCGGCAGACGCACGATGCCCGTGCCACTCAGCCCTGCATCTGGTGCTGACAGCCAGGGGGACCACAGGGACAGTCAGAAGCAGAGTCAGGCTGTGGCGCCCGGGGTGGTCACCCAGGTGGCACACAGTATAGCCTGGCCCTGAAGGCAGGTGGGGACCTACAGAGGGGTCTTGGGGAGCTGCTAAGAGGGGATGAGTGTTCTGGTCTCTCTCCCTGTCCCTCTCCAGCTCTCTGCAGACCCAGCCTTGGTGGCTGGAACTCACATCCGGACCGTGACTCTGGGTGAGGAGGGAACACGTGGTCCCTACAGGACAGCAACGAGGGCCCCAGCACCAGAGCGGCCCTCTACCTGGCACAGAGATGCGGGACAGGACCTCCGGCTGGCTCAGCGTGTCCACCTTCACGTGCCGGAAAGCCTTGCACACGGAGCTCTGCAGGTGCCTGCAGCCGGCGCATGGTCAGTCATGGGGTGAGGAGAGGAGGGAGTGGGCGGGGAGCCCTCGCAGCACACAGCAGGGAATGTGACTCAGACCCCTGGGGGCCGCCCTCTCTGGGGGAGGACAGCTCTGGCGGGGAGCTGTGACCGCCGTTCACCCAGGGGGCAGGGAGGGACAACACAGGTGTGGAGAACGCTGGAGCCCCACGAGTGAGCCAGGAGTGCACACTTCCTTCGGGCTTCGGGCCCTGGGGGCATCCCTCTCTGCACTGGGGGCACTGTGTGTGTGCCGGGGAGGCTAGGACCACCCACATCTGTGCCTGTGCTGCCAGGACCAGGTGGCATGTGGCACTCCAGAAACCTCAGGGCTGCTGCTGGCAAGTCTTGGCTCCATGCAGGCAGGGCAGCCAATGCCCAGATATCCTCCAAGCAAGGACAGCTCCAGAGGGACAGAGGCCCCCACCTGTGTGGGGGCTTGGCTGGTGGTAAGGCCCTGAGACTGAGCAGCGGGTCACATCAGAGTTGTGCGTCCTGGGCACTGCAAGATGCCCTATAGGGCACCAGCGGAGACACGGGGGGAACCTGGAGGGCTTCCTAGAGAGGGCACGAGGAGCGGGCCCTGGAGAGCGGAGAGGGACAGGGGCCGTGGAGCGCGTGGAGTGGTTTTCACACCCTTATGTGTGGCAGGTGGCAGAGCGTAGGAGGGGTGGCCCTGCTCAACCCTGCTCCTGCAGCCCCAGGGCTCGCAGTGGGGTGAAGGGCAGAGGCTGGCCCTGGGCCTGTGCCGGCAGCAGCATCCTGCCATCGCCACTACAGAGATCCCCGCTCAAGGATTGAGGCGCACCCACCTCTTCCACTCCTCTTCTGTCTCCCAGAACTCGTAGATGACGAAAGTGCAGCCGTCGGCCAGCCTCACTGCAGCGATGCTGCAGGGAGAGGAGGGGCTGGGGTGCGCTGTGACCACCCATGCGGCTGCACGGGCAGCTCCCACTCCCGTGATGCTGAGGCTGCCAGGGGCACAGCCCCTGCTCTGTCCTTGTCCCCAGAGGTCCTAGCTCCCTCCCCTCTCTCAGACCCTGGGCAGCAGGGCACGTGAGCCTGGGTAGGTGAGCGCCGGCTGTGACGTCCACGCGGGGTGGCATCGTGGGCTCTGTACTGGGCTCGTGCTCCCTGCTGGTGACAGTGAGCCCGGGCCCTCTGCCAGGTGCCACTCTGGTCCCCCAGCGCCAGGCACAGGTTATCGCCAGCTCCTGGGATGTCGGTGTGGTCACCGTGGCGGGATGTAGCATCATAGTGACAGCATGTGCTCAGCTGATGCTCTAAAGCCCTCTGAAAACAGATGTCTGTGGCAGAGGTGCGTTGCAGGAACGACATGCACGCATCACAACGCACCAGTGTGGGTCCCTTCTCTGTGGGTCCCATCCTCGCAGCGGGGCTAGGAGTGGCAGGGTGCACAGAAACAGCGAAAGAAGGGAGCAAAAAAATGACACGAGCGTGCCAAGAGCTCAGAGTGTGGCGGCTGTGGCAGGCTGCGTCACCCTTCGCACAGGGGGTGGCTGGGAGCAAATCTGCAGAGGTGGACGCTTGCCTGGCACACACAAGGCCCCAGGTCCAAGCCCTAGCACCATAGAATCAAGGGAGCCAGCTGCTGCGCTGTGTTTCCCTCGCAGGCCACATCCTCTCCAGACTGCTGTGCCTCTTCTACCCACGCCTCCCCACTACCGTAGAGCCCATCTGTCGCCAACACCCCATCCTTCAGAGGGTGGCTATGCGGCTCCGCCTGGGGCACCCTGGTGCACCCCAGCCCATCTTCATGTGGCAGGGCAGGAGAACGTGGCTCCTCCCAGTCTGACCTGGCCATGCTGCATGGCAGGACCCGTCTTAGTGCCACCTTGGTGCTCCTGTCCTCCACACTGGGCCACACCACTACTTTCTCGCTCCCAAACATGCCCAAGCTGCCGCCGGGATCTGGACGCCTGTTCTTAGCAGCACCTGCGAGCCCTGGGCAGGAGCCCCTGCCGCCACCACGGGCTGTCTTTTCCTGCCAGCAATAAAAGTTCTGCAACAGCCTTGTGCTTGCCCGTTTGCCAGCATAGGTCCTAGGACTAGAGGGTAAATGCACAGGTGAGAAGGGGGAAACTGAGGCCAAGGGCCAGAACAGGCTCCAGAGCTGGGCAAGCCTGGGCTCAGGTCCCTGGCAGCAAGGGCACAGAGCTGGTGTCACCATTGACCCTTGGAGGCCGCAGTGGCAGGCCAGCGGGGAGGGGCTGCACGAGCAGGTGATGGGCAGGGTGGTGGCCACCCTGTGTGTCCCTCGTTTACTAGGGTGCCAGAGGCCAGGCCCAGTGCTTCGTGGCGCTGGTGGCCCTCACACTCATTCCATTTGTGCTCCCCTGCAGGAGGACTGGAGCCCACCCCCCTCCCGCCCCTTCGGCGCAGCGGCTCACGCACTGGAAGCAGGGCCCAGCTCCGGCGGTGCTCCGCAGGTACTGACGCAGGGAGCCCAGGAACTCGCCCAGCTGTTCGGGGCACACGGCCATCTCCTGCCGGACCAGCTGCAGGTGCTGCAGACCGAACGCAGGAGCGTGGGCACCGGGACTTGGCCGGCCCCACTGCCAGTGCCTCCCCTCCCCTTGTGGGGTGTCAGGACGACTGGGTCGGTATCAGATCTGTGCCTGCCTGTCACCCTGCACCCTCACCTGAGTGCTGGCTGAGTGGGAACAGACTTGCAGCAACCAAGTGTGCACGCCCACCGCGCTTGGGCAGGAGTCAAGGAGGCTGCAAGGCCTGGGTCCTGGGCCCCGGAATCTGCATGCTGAGGACTCACCCAAATGGATTTGGCACAAAGCTCGGGTGGAGCTAGCTCCAGGGGGAGGAGCTACGTCTTGGCTCTAACAGGGACGGAAAGTGGCGCTGCAAGAGCCTCACCATGTTGGTGCCTTCATCGTCGTCGGAGAGGCGCTGCTGCAGGTCAAACCAGAGGGTCTGAAATGACAGCGTGGAGCCCTGCCTGGAATGGGGGCCGGCTCTGCCCCCTGGACCAGGGCTCCCAGGGCTGTGCTGACTCAGACGGGGCCGTGGGAGCCCATGCTGGGAAACAGCAGAAGAGCCCCCGTGCTCGGGGCAGTGAGGCGGCTCCAGTCTAGGACACTGCGTGGTTTTCTGGTGTGTGGGGAGGATGGTACTGGGGCTCGAACTTCGGGCCTTCCCAAGGAGCTGCATCCCCAGCACTTTGTGAGACAGGGTCTTGATAAATTACCCAGGTGGGACTTGCACTTGCGATCTTCCTGCTTCAACCTCCCAAGTGTGCACCCCACACCCACCTGGATGCGGGTTTGGCCGCAACCGCTGATCAGAGCCCCGAGGTTCCTCACTCCTGACACGCTGCCAGCCCTCACCTGACCCCCCCACATCTAACAGTGTGAGCTGGGTGCTGTGGACTGGGGCCGTCCCAGGCCCTGACCCAGAGGGTTACGAATGCACCTTCTCCGTCACTGCATCTGGTGCCCAGTATGGGTCCTGCTCCAGCCGCCATTTTACCGCGAACAGCACTGGGCTTAGCTCACAAAAGCAGGAAAAGGCCAGGACCCGGTGTGAACTGGCCCTCTCTCCACCGGGCACACAAATCACGGCTTTCCGTCCTCGAACTGGGGCATCCAACAGCACCGGCTCTGTCCCTGCGCAGCCTCAGGGTGACAGGCTGTTGGGTTTGCTTGGAGCGAGTGCCTACACCTACGTGTGAGGTGGATCTGTTGTCAAGGGAAACAGCGGCCAGTGCCGGCCGGTGTGACCCATACAGTCCCCACCCATGACTCAGTGTTTGCTCAAGGAGCCGTGCACAGCCGCTCTGAGCTGGCTCCGAGAACTACTATAACTTCTCCGGAGGGAACCTTTCTAAGCAGTGAAGGCGTGCCCAGCAGGGTCAAGTCTGCCCCCATCGCTTTCCAACCATGCACATAGCTTCAAGAGGACTGGGTGGCAACTGGCTTCTCTGAGAGGATTGAGGGGACCGGGTGGCACCCGCATCTGCCACCCCAGCCAGCGCACCTCCATCCTGTTAGGCTGGGCCAGGAGGTGGCTCAGGCTGGCCTTTAGAGCATGGACCAGGAGCCAGACCCTGATTAGCCTATGCTCAAGTGCAGAGCCAATCAGAAACCAGGAGGAGGGCCCCGCCCTGTCTCCAGGAGCCCAGGTGCTCTGTGGTTACCAGCCTGCATGGTTGTTAGGGCGACCAGGGCTCTAAAAATAAGCTTCAAAGAGCCTCCCTCTGGAGGCCCCTGCTGAGTTGTTATGACAACCGGGCCACAGGGTCCCACAGAGCTGCTCCCACCCAGGCAGCGGGTTGGGAGTGGGAGCTCCCACTTTGGCCTCAGCCCTGCAGCCAGCCTCCTCCCTCCGACTTCCTGCCATCAGCCGCTGGCCTCTGCCCTTCTGAATCTCAGAACTAATCCTCACCTCCATCAAAGCACTAGAACCCACTGCAGAAGATGAAAACGATGAGCAAATAAAGAACAGAGGAAATGTCACCTCAACCCTTGGCTGCTATACCTGTTAGGCACCGCCCCTTGTATGCCTGCAGAAACCACCTATGTGCGTGAATTCTGGTAACAGAACATCTAATAATAACTGCTAATGTTAAATGCTAACTAGGACAGAAGGTTCTGTGGAAGTCACTAAGACGTCGTCTTCACCCTAACAACACCCCTGAGGGGTGCCATCGGCCTGAACTATCATCAGAGGTGGAATATGAGGCTCAGAGGGGGTGCGTCACCGGCCCACGGCCACACCATCCAGAAACTCAAATGCCCATTCTGACAGTCCCATCCATCCGCAAGCCTAAAGCAAAATGCTTTCCTTCTTGCTCCAAATGGTCACAAACCCTTCCCTGAAAACATGGCTCTGTGAAGGCTGTGCTGGTTGCCACCGGCTGTGGACGCACCGTAGTGCGTGGCACGGACTTCCTCCGCTGGCCAGGCCGTGTCACCCTGGGGCGCCCTCCCCAGGGTGCTGCTTCTTGTCCTGCAGGCTCAGGCCTCCCTGCTGCGTGGAAGTGACGTCCCCTTGCGGCAGGGACTCATGCTGCTGGCCACGCTCTGCTCCTGTAGCCGCTGTCCATTCACTGTCCACCCCCATGCCACCTGGGTGATGCCTCCCATGGCTCTGACTGTGTGCACGTGCGGGGGAGGCAACATGGCTTACCTTGGTCTCCAGCCTCCCGATCAGCTCTGCCAGCCGGCTGATCTGGGCGTCCAGACTCTCCTCCTTCGTGTCTCCCAGGACTGGGAAAGAGAACCAGAGACCCTGATGTCAGGCAGGGCCAGGACTAGGGGGCGCAGAGCACGCAGCCCCCGGGCGCGGTCCCATCTAAGCACCCCCAGGCGGTGCTACTGCTCCTTCTCACCAGGCAGAAGGCTCTTCCCCTGTTCCACGGCCGCAAGCTTGGGGCTGGGGGCGTAGGGAGGGGCAGAGCTTCCATACCAGCTCTCCACGGTGCCATGGTCGGGTTTGCCATGGTCCTGCCTGTGGTAGGTGAGGGAAACACAGTCAACAAGGGAAGACGTAGGGCCAGGACCATTCTTAGCAGCATCCTCAGGCGTTGTTCAAGCCCCAGCTCTGGGCTGAGCCATGCTCAGAACCTACCCTGGGGAGCCTGACCCCCGGAATGGGCCAGATGTGGCCTGTGTCTGACAGGGGAGGAAACAGCCCAAGGAGCAGGTGGCTTGGTCCAGGCCACGAGTCGGCTCAGGCAGAGCTGAGGCTGGCACTCGGGCCCTGTACCCCGGGGATGCAGTTCTGAGGCAGAGCCAGCCACCCATGCGCCTGGACTGTGCACAGCCTCCCTGGGCACATGCTGAACCCAGGCACGGAGACACCCAGTCTGCTGCTCCTCTGCCTCACGAGGAGCCCATGTGGCATTCGGAGCCCTCTGGTATGGGAAGCCTGGGTTTGCACCAGCACGACCGCCCCCCCCAAAAGAGCCCTGTGAGACTGAGTGGGGCTAACAGCACCAGCCCCCTCTCCTGTCCCCTGTGCACAGTGACAGCCAGGCACAGTGACTCAGAGAGGCTCCCACTCTGCTCACCGAGCCCCGCGCGGGACACACAGCAGGAACACACAGTCAGGTAATGACGAACGGACCCTCACTGCAGAGGGCACTGGAAACCCCACTGCAGCTACCAGATGGGCGGGACACGCTCGTGTGCACACACATCCCCTAGTATTTGCTGGGATTTGTCTCCTGTGAACCTCAAAAACCTGGTGAGGCTCTCTCCCATGTCCACGGGGTCAGCTTGGCCCCAAGGGAGGCAAAATCTGGCAGCATCTTTGAGGCACCCATCATGGCTTCTCTACAGGCCAACAGCAAACTGTGTCCTGCAGACCGTGAAGGGTGGAGTGGGAGGCCCTGCAGGTGGCAGGGCTCAAACCAGTGGCTTGAGCCTGAACACAGCGGCCTGGGACACAGGACAGCTTAAGGGCACCCAAAACTGTCGGGATCTGGGGTAGCGTGGGGTGGGGTGTGCACGGAAGGGCCCTCCCGTGGTGACACACCATCCCTCCAACGTGTGCCGAGTCAGGCCCCACCCAGGGGCTGGCAGCTGTGACCCTGATGTGACAGAGCGGCACTGTGCAGGAAGGAGGCTGCAGCAGGACAGGAGGGGCAAGGTTTATATCACAACAGCAACAAAACAGAGAAAATCTAAGTGTGGCTTCCAGAGCAGCGGCTCTTAACTCTGGGGGGACTGTCAGGGTCAACTTGGCCCATGCTGTGGGAACAGGGTCACCAAGTGGCCTCCAGTCACACCTGCCTGGGACCAGCTCCACACCAGACACGTCGAACTCGGTGCCACAGCAGGCCAGCATCCTGGGCCTCTCTGCTCAGCCACACATGGCTGTGTGCAGAGAAACTGCAGGTCACAGTGTCCCTGTGAGGGACCCCAGGTGCTTTCCTGTGCCAGGCACCCGGGCATGAGCGAGACTCATGCAAGGCTGGGTAACCTGTGGGCAGTCACCTGCTCTGTACCTCTGTCAGCCCCTCTCCCTGGAAAGTCTCAGTGGGATCCTGTCCCATCTTTCACGCCCCTCAGACTTCTGGCCCTGTACAGCTGCAGGGCTGTGTGGGCACCAGGCGAGAATGGCTCCAATCTCTAAGGCTGTGTGACACACTTGCTGTCCTGTTAGTGTGGTGTCCACCATTTGTGAAACTCACTTCTGGTTTTAAAAAGTGGGGCAGACAGTGGAACCGTTCTGCATAATCAGGGAGCGGGACAGGGACAGGGTAAGACTGACCAAGCCCGGAAATGGCACCTTAGCTGTGTGTATTAGAGCTAAGGTGGAGGCAGAGGGAGGTGCGGTGACCTGCCCCAGGTGGCCAGCTCCCAGCAGAGCCCAGGGCCCCACAGACACACCGGATCTGGCTGGTCTGCTCCTCGATGGCCTCCACGGCACTCTCCACGGAACTGAGCAGCGACTGGATCTGATTGGCCGTCTCCTTCAGGAGGAAGCGGGTGACGAACCGGTCCACGTTGCTTCCGCCCTCGTAGACCTGCGAAGGGAAAGGAAGGGCACTGAGGGGACAGGGCTGGCTTGGGGTGCTGGCTTCGGTCTGTGAGGATGGTGCTCCCTGCCTCTTGCATCTTGGAGGCTGCAAAATAGGGCCATGAACCCAGAGACCAGGAGCTGAACCCAGGCTTTGCCGGCTCCTCGGCCTCGAGCACGCCAGGCACTCCTCTAGCGCGTGCGCTGTCCTTGGTCCTCACAGTAGGAACGGGGCTGCTGCGGTGAGGACCCAAGGGCAAAATGTATGTATCGGATGCTCACCACCGTGCCAGCCACAGAGCAAGTATTCAGTAAACAACGGCTGCTGTAATAAAGACGCTGGTGCTGGTGCTGGTGCTGGTGGTAGCTTTTTTTGTTTTGTTTTATTGGAAGAATGGAGATAGAGCATTAGGGAAGGGAAGAAGTCACAACCTCTGCTGTTTCCTTTCTCCTACACAGAGAATTCTTTGGGCTCCTGGGTCTTTGTGCTGCTACTCAAAGAAAGAAAAGAAATGCAGCCGAGCAGGTGAACCAGGCTTCCAAAGAAAGTGCCTGAGGCTCTGTCCTCAGGAGGAGGGAGACCCAGCACGTGTCACAGGGAGGGGGCTCCGGGAAAGACCCTCAAAGAGGCTTTCCTACGAGACTGCTGTGTGGCGTAAGATGGAATTTCTGCCTTTGTCCCAAGCTTCCAGCACTGGCTTTACAGCAGAGGAGGGCAGACTCTGGCTACTCCGGGCCACTTAAGGAATGAGCCGAAGATGAGAAAGAACAGCCCTGCTGTGCTGGGGGTTGGGGGGAGATCCTGGTCTCAAACCACTATTCCCTGGCCTCCTCCACCCGGACCTTGCTTCTCCAAGCCGCCCGCCCCCGCACCTTGGACTCCTGCCCAGTCCCCAGCAATGACACAGAAAACAGGGCTCTCTCAAGGAAAGCAAATTAAACCATCCATCACTCTGACTGGGAATTAATTAGCAGTAACTGCAAACTGGGAAACAGGACCCGGAGACAGAGGAATGAGGGGTGGGAGCAGGGCCTGAGGGAGGTACGCAGGAGACATCCCTCCCAATGCCGAGCCAGGGACACCGGAAGCCACCACGCTGGACACACGACCTTGGCCCAAAGCGGCAGCCTGATGGATTGCAGGGTTTGATTTTTCCTTCAGGGTCGACAGCTGAAAGCTGATCAATGGAGCCTGCACAGAAATGAACACAATGACAGAACTTGGAAAAGAAAAAGGCTGCCAGAAGGGACGGAGCGGGGAGAGGAGCTGGGTGTTCGAAAGCACACAGGGGTGCAGGGAGCGCCCGAGGACGGTGGGGGACCAAGAGGGGGCTGGTTTGACAAGTTCTGAGGAAGGCGCCTTTCTCAAAGGAGTAGAAATGAAGATTTAACAGGCGTTCCCTCTGCCCCGAGCCCTGCTCTGCCGATTCCACAGGGAAGGAACAGATCTAATTCAGCATCCAGCAGACAAGTTACTGTCTGCAGGGCAACGGGGAGAGACTCAGAAGTCTGCAGAGCTCTAACATTTACCGGGTAAGCAGGCGTTCTGCAAAGAATGCTGAGGAATCTCCCCTCAACCATCTAAACCGCAACTGCACAGAGAACATCCTGGAATAGGAAAGTTGTGACTATATGTACTCTCATTACACACAACGGTTACAGCGGTCCAGAAGTAAGAAACATTAATTACTAATAGTTTAATTTCTCTGACACTGGGTTAAATCAATACGCTATGGAAAAAATAACCCCAAATCTCAAACCTTCCTTTATTCCAAAATGGAACAGAAAGTGTTATTAGCTAAGGGTAAAAGCAAGATTATGAATATTCACAATGGTGTATAAAAAGTCACTAGTAAAATGAAAATGATCATTTTTGCCCTCTGTCACAATCCGCATAGCAGTGACCATCAAGAGGAAAAATGCAAACAACAGGAAGACAGAAAACAGGAAGAATGTCAAATCAGGGCACCAGTCAGAGCGGATGGAAACGCGTAAGAAAGGAGGCGCCCGGGTCTCCCAGGAGAGGCAGCTCCCGAGCCGGTGACACGCGAGCCACCGGGCCCCTCTGCCAGAGCAGCACACGGGGTTTCGAAGGGAAGCATGTGCCAGGGATGGATGAGCGAGTCTGGTCAGATGAACAGGACCCATACGGATCACCCCTGAGCCAGAGCTGAGAAGGCCAAGTGCTACACAAGACAGGGACACGCGGCGAGGCGTCATGCAAGCGCACGGTGTTTCTGTGTCCTCGTGGTCCAGGACAGGATGTGCTGCTGGACGGACAGGCCCAGCTGCTGCAGAGAGCAGCCCTGCTGCATGCAAGAACCTTACACTGTTCCAGTTCTTCCCAATTCGGACACTCTACTCGTAAACAGAGCAAAATGTGAAATCTGTAGGATACTAGTTATAGGATTGGTCACAGCAGTAAAGATGTGGCACTAGCCAATGTGCCCAACAAATGAGGGGGAATAAGCGAGCTCAGTATTCAAAACGATGCTTTTCAACAGTGTTGGGAACACGGGGAAATTGTTTACGTATTATTAAGCCTTCTTTGCTTGGGAGATAATTTTAAAAAAAGATGTGGAAAATTTGTAACAATGCAGTAATGCTCCATTACAGAAATGCCCGCCACTTTGGCGGAATGCAACTTACCGTTCCTTCTGGCTAGTGATCAGTTTGGAATTTATTCATAAATTTCTAAATTTGTAGCTGCCTATACGCATACAAATATAGCTGTGTGCCTTCTCCGAACTCTGAGCCAGCTGTAACATCTCACTGGTTCAAAACCTTTGCCGTGTACCTTTCAATATTTGTAGGAGAGTCGTTCTTTTACTTCTGTATTATGTATTTTTAAAAACTGTCTTTCAGCTGCATGTGGTAGTACACACCTATAATACCACTACTCTGGGAGGCTGAGGCAGGAGAATACCAAGTTCAAGGTCAGCCTGGGAACTCAGCAATTTAGCAAGACCCTACCTATCTCAAAATAAAAATAGGCCAAGGATATATCTCAGTGCAAAGGCACTAGGTTCAAAAGCCCAGTATCACCAAAATAATAATTATAATAGTAGTAATGATGTAAGCAACCCCTCCATAACACCTCTTATCAGCGTGTATTTAATAGCAAAGAATAACTATTTTCAAATTTTATATTCTGCAAGCACAACCTTTATCTTCCCTGAAATTCATGGAGAGTTATAAAAACAAGGGCCAGCTTGGGCCATGACGATGACGATACTGCAGTACACTGTAAGACAGGGAGAGAGCTTACTGGTCATACTGTCGTATCACAACGTAGGGAAAGGAGTGAATGAGGGCATAGCAAACTATCCTGAGAGCAAAAGCGCCACCCAGCCAACCCTCCGGCAGCTGTGAAAATTTCATTCAAGCGGAACTTTTTTAAACTTCAAACTTTTTTATCAGAAGGAAGACCAGCTCACAGCATTCCACTTCACACACGGAAAAGGACGGCCATAGCACTGAGGCAAGGGGATGACGCCACGGGGCAGAAACGTCAGAAACTAGAAAAAGCACCCTGAAGTTTCAAGAAAAGTGTCAGGACCAATTGTCAAAAACAGCCAATTAGAAGCCAGGCATGGTGGCACACGCCTGTAATCCCAGCACTCGGGAGGCTGAGGCAGGAGGATCACTGTGAGTTCGAGGCCAGCCTGGGCTACATAGCGAGTTCCAGGTCAGTCTCAACTACATAGCGAGACCCTGTTTCAAAAAACCAAACAAACAGAAAACTAAAGGATTATTATTTAGAACTATGCCAAAATGGACACAGAAAGTTTAAACAAATGAACTAAATCTAGAGCTGGCCTTAAAATATTTATTAAAGTCATCCCCTGAAGCTGGGCATGGTGGCGCATGTCTGTAATCCCAGCATTCAGAAGGCTGAGGCAGGAGGGTTGCTGTGAGTTCGAGATCAGCCTGGGCTACATAGTGAGTTCTAGGTCAGTCTCAATTACATAGTGAGACCCTGTCTCAAAAAACCAAAAACCAACCAACCAATCAAACAGAAAACAGTAAAGTCGTCCCCTGGCCTGCTTGACCTGGAGTCCTGGGCCAATTCCATTTTGAGAAGAAAAGCGATTCTCTAACGAGGAAGCCGAATCACACCAGGAAGGATGCAAACCAGCGCCCCATCTCCATCCCTGGGAGACACGACGCACTCTGTGACAAGGACAGTTCTAGCTGATAAAAGAATAATGTTCCCCTGAGACTTTATCACAGGCAGCCACGGCCTGTTCAATATGAGACTCTAAAAATAGAACTCACCCCATCAATAGCTTCAGCGAAATCATCTGATGGCTTATAAAAACCAAAAAGGCATTAAAAAAAAATGCACCACCACCTCCCGAGACAAAATTTTAACAAAGAGAAGGCAAACATATTTCTGTAACAGGCTGGAGCGCGTCTAAAATAAGCGCTGGTATTAATACTGCAATGGGTGCAGAAATGCCAGGGAGCGGCGCATTCGGGAGCAGAAGCACAATAGGGACCCCGGCGTGGAATCAATGTGGAAACGGGGGCCACACGCAACCCTGGAGGGTGCGCAGGGGTTAGAGACACAAGGAGAAGCTGGCCTGGTAACAACGGGCGGCTGTCACCCCCGAGTCACAAGAGCAAAGAGGTCAACTGGAGTCAGACACACAGAAGCACTTGCAACACACCAGGGAGCTGCCTTTCTGCAAACAAGGCCAGCCAGGGAATTATGCAGCCAAAGAGGCCCTGATCACCTCTTCGAGGGCCTCCTGGCACCACCAGCCACACACACAGCCTGGCCTCTCAGGCCCTGGGCCGCACACGGGGACACCAAGACCCCCTCCCGGGGACAGCGAGGTCCCACTCCAGGATGTCACTGGCCGAAGGCACCGGCAACGTGGGACAGGGCCCCTGCTCCACAGCCACGGCGCAGGACTTGAAAGGGACAGCAGCAGGGGCTCAGGACCTGGCCACATTCAGATTTGTGGTCAGTCTCCGATCCACGCAGATGCGCAAAGAATGTACGGAGTTGGTCTTAAACCAGCAGCCTAATGATGCAAGCCAGCCAGGCCCGTTTCCAGAGCTGCAAAATGGGGAGGTGACCCAGGGCCCAGAGAAAGCCCCTGGCTCCACCATGAGCTCCCCATTCTTCTGGGCAGCCGGGAGGGAGGGGGCTGGAGACGCTGGATAGGGACAGTGGAGAGGGACTCCAGGCCACTTCAGGTTTACTCTGGGTCTCAAGCTCCAAACCAGATCCGACCCAACAAGGCCAGTCACTAAGCTGTACCACACGCGTCACAGTTCATCTCGGCGCCCACAAGGTACCCCAAGCAAGGCCCAGGGCTGGCACCGCTCACCAAAGACCCAGGCAGCAAGAGGCAAGGACGCCTAGAAAAATGTGGAACCAAACCAGAGCTCTGGCTCCGGGCCCTCGGGGTGCCACCTGCCCCCACTGACCTTCTTGGTGTAGCCCATAGCCTTCAGGACAGAGTGGTTCAAGGTCTCTAGGGAGGCCAACACGTCTTCGTAGTCCCCCATGTGGTCCACAAAGTAATCTGGGGGAGGGGAAGCAAAGGGCAGGGGTCACAGGGGTTGCAGGAATCCTGCCCTCCCAGCGATCCTGCTTGTGCCCACTTAGGGCCCCACCCTGCCTCCCCCATGCCCCATCGTGGCGGCTGCGTAGCCAGGCACGTACCGCACAACTCCTTGGTGTCCACGTGGCTGCAGAGAGAGGCGTCAGAGTGGCGGGCCCGTCCCTGTGAGCCCCCTTACAGGAGAGGAGACAACAGGGCCCTCTCCCGCTTCCCCGGACCTGCCCAGTTCTGTTGGAGTCCGCAGACCACACCAGAATAGTGGAGCCCGGCGGGGAGGCTCCTGGACAGCGGCGGCTGTGGCTGTGGTGGGTTCCCAGGGATCTCAGCTGCCCGCTGTCCCACCCTGGCCTTAGCAAACCCGTAGATGGCAACTCTGGTGTGAACCTCTGGCCCAGGCTGCCAGTGACCCAGGTCCCTTGCAAACTGGCTTGGGGACTGCTCCTTCTCTGGGCCACATCTAGTTTTCTTAGGGGGCCCTCAAATCCTCCAGGATGCCCCAAGCCGCACCCCAGCTCTGTCCTTATCCTGAGTGGGCCCTCTTCCCTGCTGGCCAGGTGGAGCAGCTCGGCTGCCTGCTGGGTGGGGACCCCCATGAAAAGAACTGGGTGGAGTTGGGATGGGGTTGCAGCTTGATATAAAACGGGCCTGGGGGGCTCAAGGCCACAGCCAAGGCTTGACCAGAGGAAGCACGACGCCCCAAGTCAGGGCTGGGGTCTGAAGCGGAGGCAGCCAGCAGGACGGTCACTCAGCACTGTGCAAAGCTGAGGGTGTCCCCGCCTGGCCACGCCGCGGTGCCGCTCTGTCCACTCCCTGCGTACTGGGCAGGGAGACCAATGGACCTGACTCTGCAGCAGTGAGCTGGGGCGGCGCTCAGGCCCCTGCAGGGACTGAAAGCGGAGGCCCCGACCCATGCGGCAGACCCACTTGGTGTTGTCCAAGTCGATGGTGTGGAACAGGCCCTCCAGCTCCTTCTCGTCGAGGACACCATCTGCGAAGAACAGCTGGAACTCCTCCAGGGACAGCTTCCCGTCATCTGCGGGGCACAGGGAGGCGGCTGGCGGCTGGAGATAAGCAGTCCACCGGCAGCTCTGATCGGCAGATAAGCTCCAGCTGGGATAACCCCTGCCAGCCAATCCAGCCTCACAGACGAACACCACTGCGTTTCATTCTCTCTCGCAGTACTGGGGACTGAAACCAGAGCCTGCACACTCAGCCCCAAGCCATTTTATTTTGGGACAGAGTCTTGCTAAATCACTAAGGTGCCCACACTAGGCTCGGACTTGTGACCCTCCTGCCTCAGCCTTGCAGAGTACTGGGATTACGTGCACCACCACACCCAGTCCGTACCCCATTTCAGATCATCCCTACCTCTCAGCCCATTCCCAAGTTAACCTCTCCACTGATGCATTCACTCAGGTATTTCACAAGCAGGTGACTCCCCAAGCCAACAGGTGCTACCGGAGCTTGCTGGTGGGCGCTCGCTGCACACCAGATATCTTACAGTCATTCAACACACACAGAGTACCTGCTCCCAGCCAGGAATGCTCTCGTTTACTCTGGAGACCACCAGGGTACGCGGTTTAAAGCAGGCCAGCTTCAGTAACTGGCCTAAAGGAACCCCACAGGTGAGACAGGCCCAAGCCGGTGGGTGTGGGACGGGTGCACACTCTGCTTCCCGAGGGACTTGCAGGGAATCACCCCCAACCCAGCCCGAGTCCCGTGGAGCCCCCTCTGTGCTGGGCCCAGCACCACCTCGCGGGTCGGAGTCAGACAGGACCGCCAAGCCAGGCGGCTAAAGGTCACAGTGACGCAGGAGCCACCACCCTGGGCTGCTGACTTCGGCCAGCTCCCGGGTCTCCGCCTGCCCTCGGCACCACACGCTCCCCTCCAGGGCCCCTTCGCACACCACGGGCAGCACCGTCACTCCACCTCACGAGGGGTCACCGAACCAACTCCCAAGGTTACAGTGTGAGCCCCGTCGCTCCAGCCACTTGGGGCAGGACCCTGCGGCGAGGCCTCTGGCTCCCCTCCCTCCGTGGAAAGGGACAGCTGGGGTCGGTCCCACGTGGGGGTGGGCGGCCAAGCCTGGGCTCAGCAGGTGTGTGCTGCGGCTGCTCCCCAGGCCTGGCCCCTGCACAGCGGGGCCTCCCCGCAGGCCCGGGCTCCCTCCACCTCCTCCTGTCTGTCCTGGCACCTGGGTCCCCTGTGCACCCCAGGAGAACAGGCAGACAAAGGCGCGCAGGCCCAGAGCACAAAGCCCTTTAGCTGACATTTACCTTTCACGCCGGCCATGGGGCTAATGAACCCCTAGAGCTAATGAGGGACAAACATCTCCGCCCAGGCCTGAGTCCAATTATCGGAGCCAAGCGGGCAGCACTCCCACCTCCACCCAGATCCCGGCAGAGCCTTCCCAGGTTCTTCTGCTAACAAGCATGCACAGCTGATTCATGATTCGGGGACCTTTCAAATGCTGAGAGCCCGGCAGCTATGGGGGTGGCCCCTGCCCCTCTGCCAGCTGCTGTGCCGGTTTCTGGGGTCCACGTGGGCTGCCGGGCAAGGCCCTCGCTGTAGCTTCCTCTGGCCCAGGGCTACCTCGGCCAAGCCCCCGCCAGGCCAGCCTGATCCTTGCCCCTTTAATCCCCGAGGCCTCTGTCCTCCTGTGGGCACTTCGTGGGCGTGTGTGTATCTGCAGCCACGCGGGCACCTGGGTGCACACCTGTTCTCACACCTACTTGCAGTTTTGTGAACTGTCCACTCCCACACCATATTTTAACCTTGGTGACCGCTCAGCATCTGCTGCTACTGCTGTCCCCTAAAGGTGACCACCTGCCCGCTGCTGGCCTGGCTTTTTCCCCCTGGGCAAAGCAGAGGGCCTGTGCCTGGAGAAGGGCCACGCCTGCCCTGGTGTGCACAGGTGCTCCGGGGCGGAGCCAGACTGCAGACAGCTGCGCCCCTCCAAGGCCCCACGCCCCCAGGCTCACAGTCACGAGCTCCTCTCGGACAGCCCGGGACACAGGTGCTGACGCTAACTATCTACAGACGGAGGCTGAGATCACTGCGTAAGGGGCTGCGCTGGGATGTGAACCCAGGCAGCGGGGCTCCAGGTGAACCCAGCACGGTCCCTGTGAGGGCCAGAGGAGGAAGCCTGCCTCACCTCCCAGAGGCCTAGGGCCCCCCAACTCCTGCTGGTAGCAGGATGTCAGGCCCACGTTAACCTCAGTGACAACCACCCACAGACATGAGGGGCAGCAGGCCCCAGGAGGAGGAGCGGGCCCGGCCTCCGTGGGGGCTGCGGAAATGAAGTGGGGGTGCCTGCAGCTGCGCTCAGGGGGTGGGAGGAGCCTGGCAGGGCTGAGGTAGCCAGAGAGGCCATCACCCATGTGTGCCCAAGGGGACAGGCGCCACCCACGCAATGCTGCAGAAGTCAGAGGCCCCGCGGCAGGGCACAGAGGCGCCACGGTCAGCCACTGAGATGACAGCTGACAGACACAGCAGCCAGATCTGGAATCAGCCACAGGGAGGTGGCATCGAAGCGGGACAACGCCAATCCCTCCTCTCACTTCGCCTTTGCACCACAGACTCACTGCTGGTGGCCCTTCAGCCCAGGCCCCAAGGATGGGGTCAGGGAGGGCCCTGCACTGAGTCCAGCACAGATGTGTACCTGCCCCTCCCACCAACTGGAACCCCTGGAGACGGGTGATGGGAGCCCATGGCAGTCAGCTGGGCAGGTGTTAACACCCCAGTTTACAGATGGAGAAACTGAGGCCTACAGAGGAACCGTGCTTTGGCTGAAGTCCGCAGGGATGCACTGAACCCAGAAATAACTGTTGAGCATGGTGTGTCACTGTCTGCTTTCATCCCTCCTTGTGAGGTGGGAACCAGCCTTCCGGGGGGCTGCAGTCTTCCCAAAGACCAGAGGACTGGAGGTGCCATAAGTCCTGGGGCCACCACCACGCGCTGCTCACTGCTTGGAGGACCGAGGGATAGGGGGATGCGGCGGGGGTCTTGGAGGCAGCCTGGACTTTGCTCCTCGGCCGGCCACCCTCGGGCAGGTCACCCACGTTCTTCGGGGTCACCAGGAGGGGCCAGGACAGGGCTGCATCAGGTCTGCATGCTAGGTGTGCGCTAGTCTAGGAAGGGCCTGCAGTGAGGCAGCCTGCACCCCTGAGCAGTCCCTAGCACCAGAAGTACCCCAAGTGCTCCGTGCCAGCCAGGCCCCAGTTCCCGGAATCCTCCAGGGCGTCCTGCTAAGTGGGGACTGTTAAGAAGGAGAAACTGAGGAACAAGGTCTTCTGTCCCGAGTCTTGTCCTTGTCACCTTCCCTGACCCCTGTCCCTGAAGCCTCAGGACAGGGTGCAGTCCCCACTCAGAGGAATGCGGAGGTAACTCACCGTTTTTGTCTGCACGTCGGAAAATCTGCAGGGAGAAAAAGGAGTCAGGCCTGAGTAGGAGGGGCAGGCGCCCCCCAGCGGCTTCCGCCCGCACCGAGCCCTTTACCCCAGGCCCAGCTGGGAAGGCTGCGCTAGCTTCTGGAGACCCTAGCTGGGGCGGCGGAGGGAGGGCTGGGCAGGGCCCCCTACTGCTCTTCGGAAGCGGCCGCCCCCGCTCCCTCTGCACTGCCTGCCTGCCCACGCACGGCGGACGCACGCGCGCTGCGTGCACACACACCCACACAACCCTGCAGAGCCCACCCGCTCCGCGGGAGCACACCCGGGAGCAGCATCCCTAGGGGATGTGGGGAGAACCCTTTACCCTCAGGGGTCTCCCAGGGGCTGACTCCATCTGAAGGAAGCCTCCTGGGCTTGGCCAGCCTCCGGCAAGGCAGGCCGAGGGGCAACTCTTTCCTGGTGGCAGGAGTCTCCCGCCCAGGCTGAGCCAGTGGTCCCTTGGGGCTCATAACACTCCCCCTGCGCCATGTCCCAGTGCAGTCCCAGCCAGCCGGGGCATCTGCAGTTAAAGCCACAGCAGGTGTCCACGCCCAGGCTGAGGTGTTGGGCCAGGGCACCTGCTTCTCCTGGAGTCTGTGGCACAAGCAGCATGTCGGGCCCAACCTGGACCCAGAGTCAGGACTTGCGTCTTAGTCTGCTCTCCGGAGACTGATTCACGCCCACCACAAGGTCTGAAGAGGACCCCAGGACATAGGGCAGCCCCAGCCCAGTGGAACTGGCTTATTTTAGACAGAGGGAAATTGAGGCCCAAGCTTCCCAGCGGTTCCTGGCCACCGGGGAGGTGTCCCAGGATCGGGGCCCTGCAGGACCCCCCCTCCCACCTCCATACCCTCCCTGCACCCTCCAAGCAAGGACCAGGCATCTGCCTCTGTTACAGGCCCTGGGTTGTCAGGGGAGTAGGGCTGGGGAGAATACACCACCATCACCTCTGGACGGGACCCCAGCTAGGTGTCCTCAGACCCCACCCGGGCCACAGCCGCAGGTGCCTCGCACCCCATTTCAGAGGTGAGGAAATGGGGTCTTCAGGCCCTGGGAGTCTCAGCCAGAGGGAGGCAGCAGGAGGCGCTGGGCAGGCTGTGTCCTGGGAGGGCGCAGCTCTGAGTCCTGATGTGTCTGTGCGCACACGTGTGTGCACGCATGTGTCTATGTGTGTACGCAGGTGTGGGCCCGAGGCAAGAGCCCCTCCCCACCCCGTCCAGCCCACCCACGGGTTCCTGCCTGAGAAAGGGAAGGGAACAGAGTCAGGAACCCCTCCCCTGCAGACGTTCCGTCCACTCAGAAACAACCCAAGCTGGCACCCCCAAGATCCTGTCTGTCTACGACCCGACCCCGAGTTTCCTCCTCTGCTCAGCTGCCCTACCCCCACGTGGGGGAGTGGGCTTTCCCGGGGTGGGCGGCTGGGAACCCGGTCATGTTAGGGGGAGGGGCGAGCCTGGGGTCCATGAGGAGAAAGTGGGCGGTTGGGAAGGGAACGACAGGAGGGCGGGGGGCTTCCGAGCCCGGTGCGGTCCTTGGGGAGAGGAGTCAGGAAGCCAAGAGGCGGGGCGGAGGCGCCACTTCCAAAGTGGGGAGCAGAGGGTCTCTGGGGATGAGAACAGGGCTAGGGGATCCGAAGTAAGGGAACGAGGAGCGGCGGCGCAGGGAGCTGCTGAGGGGAGCGGAAAAGTGTCGCTGGGCTGGGATCCGGATGGAGAGCTGGGGCGCAAAGAGCAGGGGG